GGAGTGGGAAGAATAATAGAATAACAGAATAACCGAGTTGGAAGGGACCTTGGAGGTCATCTAGTCCAACTCCTGCTCAAGCAGGAAACCCCATACCATTCCAGACAAATGGTCATCCAGTCTCTTCTTTAAAAACCTCAATTGATGGAGCACCCAAATCGTTTCGTTGGTTAATTGTTCCAACTGTCAGGAAATTTCTCCTTGGTTCTAGGTTGCTTCTCTCCTTGATTATTTTCCATCCGTTGTTTCTTGTCCTGCCCTCTGGTGCTTTAGAGAATAGGTTAAGCCAGAATAACAGAATCACAGATTCTTAAAGTACAGATTGTTTTATTGTCCTATTATTCTTCGCTTCCCCCAATATAACAGAATAAGAGAAATCACAGGGAGCTTAGAGGTCTTCTAGTCCAACCCCCTGCTCAAGCAGGAGAGTCTGAAATAGCATGTCAGACAAATGGTCGTCCAATCTCTTCTTTAAAAAATCTCCAGGGTTGGAGCATCCACAACTTCCGTTTCACATTCAATACACAGTGGTACCTCGGTACTCAACTGCTTTGATTTTGACATGAAAACGTTGTCCCAAGTGCTCATCCTTTGTTTGGTACTCAATGCACAAGCTAGAACTTGTCAGTGTTGGCTGCCATGTGACTCACGACATGATTCCTTAAGAGGAAAAAAAAAAAGTTTGGTACTCATCATTTTTGATACTCATCATGCCTCCCGGAAAAAAAATTTAGTGAATCTGCCTTCCCAACTGACTTTTCTTGTCAGAAGATTGCAAAAGGTGATTATGTGACCTCAGGATACTGCAAACCGTCATAAATATTTTGCTTCTAAAAATTTAAATTCTTAAAAGTCAGTACAATCCAGAATACTTAATCAAGCTGGCCATATGATAAAAAGCTTTTAAATATACAAAATGTCATTTATTTCATCCATTGCAAACTAGCCTTTTTAGCCAGGTTATAACAAAATGGCCACACAGCACTTTTCTTTCCAAAAGAAATATTAATACAAGGGAAGTGGGTTTTTTCTTTTTTTAGAAAATTATATATACATAAGGTTTAGAATTATGTAACAGATCATGGGTTAAAATAATACTTATATTAATAGAAGCGGTTTTGGCTACATTATATACATATATCAGAATTAATACCTTTTTTTTTCTTTACGCTCAAACCTGAACAGATCAAAAACACCAATATACTGCTCATCCTTTGCCTAGTCCCAGGTATAAAAGTATTACTTCAGGATAGGGCATATTACAAACGAGGATAGGAGTTGCAAAGTAGGAATGTTCTATTTTCCATCATTTCATTAGATTTAAGAGCCATCTTAAGCCATTGTAGAGCAACTTTATGCAAATAAGGTAAGGCTGTTTTTTCCTTCCGAAGCTTCATGGAGAATGATTCAGTCAATATTAGGGAAGGGAAAGGATGATGAAGGGAAGGGAAAGGAAGGGATGGGGAACGGAAAAGGAAGGTAAGGGATGAGAAAGGGAAAGGGAAAAGAGAAGGGATGAAGAAGGGAAGGGATGAGGAAGAGATGGGGAAGGGAAAGGGAAAGGGAAGAGAAAGGAAGAGAAGGGATGAGGAAGGGAAGGGATGAGAAAAGGAAGGGATGAGGAAGGGATGGGGAAGGGGAAGGGAAGAGAAGAGAAGAGTAGAGCAGAGCAGAGCAGAGAAGAGAAGAGAGAAGAGAAGGGATGAAGAGAAGGAATGAAGGGGATGAGGAAGGGATGGGGAAGGGAAAAGAAGAGAAGAGAAGGGATGGGGAAAGGGAAGGGAAAGGAAGAGAAGAGATAAGGAAGGGAAGGGAAGAGAAGGGAGGAGGAAGGGAAGGGGGGAGGAAGGAGAGGGAGGAAGAATGAGGAATGGAAGGGAATCCCAGGGATGAGGAAGGGAAGGGAATCCCAGGAGAGAAATGGAGCAAAATATTTCTCAGAACTTTTCCCCATGTAAGGATGGATTAAGTATAAAAACATCAAACACATTTTTTAAAACTTGAACGTATGGATCGGTTTTAACATGCAGCAAGTTATCCATGATGACGTTATTGGTCTAGCAGAAACAGTCACAGAGACTGAGCAAATAGGAGGGGAGGGGGGAGGAGGCATCCAGATTCAACACCCTGCCGAGAGGCAGAAAACCACAAACCACCCAGAAACAAGAGAGTGGAGATTTCCAAAACTAAATCACTAGGGTCAAGGCAAACTTCCAGAAACCAGTAAAACCAGCTTACTCATGAAGAGTTCTCCTTTGAGGCTGGAGCCCTCCTGGCCTGCTAGGGCAAGAGCTGTTCAAATAGCATCAGCTCTTGAGCTCCATCAAGCTTGGAGCAACGCGTTGCACACCATTCTCCTGAAGCAGCTGAAGACTGAAATCAATTTGGAGACAGCCTGCACAAAAACGTAAGAGCCAAAACTGCAATTTTAAGCCACTGTTGGGACCGGTCAATATTCCTGACAGAGAAAAGGAACAGGGAGGGTGCAAAAACCAGCTGGGTGAACAACTGTGCCACAATCAATCCCATTTCATCTTTCAGATCCTATGGCCCTGTGGATCTCAATTCCTAGAATTCCTCAGCTGGCTGGGGAATTTCTGACAGTTGAAGTCCACAGGTCTTAAAAGTTGCCAAGTTTGGAGACCGCCCGCCTCATCTAGAACATCATCAGAGGATCCATGTTCTCTACTGCATGGCTTTAAGTGTTCAGAACCACAGGTCTATCTCCTTTCACAACACTGATCCTTGGGACAATTCAAGGAACGGATGTTCTTAATTCTATTAATCTCTTTTTTGGGGGGGAAAAGTTATGCCTCGGTTCTCTGTAAGCTTCAAATACGGAAAAGGATTCTCTTCCCATCAGTGTTGCCAAGGAACAAACTCAACTGAGCAATGGAAGTGAAGAAGAGTTTCCACTTAAGGACAAGAGACAATTTAGCATCTCCATCGGGAACCAAGCTAGAAACAGGGTCCTCCAATTCCTAGCCAGCCACGACTACTATATGGCTACTATATCGGAAGGCATTCAGTTTGGGAAGGTCAAGCGGAAGAGTAAGCAAGAAGTGGGATGACTCCCATCTTTTCTTCCTCCGAGGCACATTCTCACACCCCTGTGTCTAGCTCTGACCCCATTTTTCCAGACTTGAAATTTCTCCAAGCAGGTAACCGTTTCCGTCCTCATTAATATGACTCGACAAGTAATTTCTCATTACTGACTGAGATGTTTGCACAGTCCAAATCTCATTCATTATTGCTTCTGTGAGCGGTCCAGTCAACACTGCCTTTTAATAGCCTCCTATTCATTTCATTTGACAGCTAACAACTAAACATCTCTTCCTATATGATGAAGTATGCATGTCAGGGCCCCAAGCTGAACCTTTATGCACACAGGTTTGCTCTGCCAGTCAACTTTTAAATTTATTGCCAGGGTGTCTTATCTCTTGACCGCTGGCCACATTAAACTCCATCAGTGTGTTTTTACAACCAGCAGACTCTTTTGAAAAGCAAGACAAGGGCGTTGACTGCCATTGTGCAATAGGAGAGGCTTAGGAAAGTACTAATCTTCTCCAATGAGGTGTGATTTGTTAAGCCCGCACAATGGTTTTTATTATGTGGCTTGAGACAAATTTAGAATGTTTCCAGGAATGAGGAGCTGAGTTGAATAAGTGTGCTGAAAGTCCTTATGCAGGGCGCACCAGATACCTAGTTAGAAGAAGAGGAAGTGATAAAAAATATATATATTCTGGCTACGATTTGGAGGTTGAGAAGAAGATTCATTTCTCGCTTCCCCAAAAGAAGCTATTTTTTCCTTTGTATTTTTTTTTTCACCTTTACCTAGCTCAGGGGTAGGCAACCTTGGCTCCTCTTTTATGACTCATGGACTTCAACTCTCAGAATTCCTGAGCCAGCATGGGGGAACTATGGCCCCCTCATGACTCATGGACTTCGACTCCCAGAATTCCTGAGCCAGCCTGGCTCAGCTTGGAAACCTCTCTTTCCCCTCAGCATGGCTGGCTCAGGAATTCTGGGAATTGAAGTCCACAAGTCATAAAAGAGCCCAGGTTGCCTACCCCGACTTAGCTCTTTGCCACTCATTAAAGAAAATTAGATAGACAACCAGGCTGTGGCTGTCTTATTTTAGAGTACTCTAGTCTTTCTCAACTTTAGCAACTTGAAGAGATGTGGACTTCAGTTCCCAGAATTCCCTCGTGAATTTAGCTGGCGGGGGGGGGGGAGGAATCTGAGAATGGAAGTCCATACCTTTTCAACTTGAGAAACACTGGTTTTGAGATGCGTTTCAGAACAGAGGGATAGAAATGAAATATACATTGCATTTGCACTCATGTGCCTTGAATTCTCATGAAGCTTGATCTCTCCACGGCTTAAGTCCAGCTGTAATCAACGAGACGGGCCCCAAAGCTTGAATTCGCACAACACAATGGCATGCTTTGGCCATGAGAATTATATGAAAAAGCCACTTATTTCTAAGCAGCAAAACCACTCTAGGCACGCTACGAAATCCCTCCTCTATTGTATCAATCCCTGTCCACAGCCCTGCCTGGTTAGAAGAAGACATATAATCTCTTGCCCGTCCAGCCCTCAAAAAATGGAAAGCTAGGAACTTCCAAGGAGCTAAAAAATGCAGATTTGATGGCTTGGGAGCAGGTGATTCCCCCCCCCCCCTTAGCAGTTTTCCCATTCCTCATTCTTGGCATGCAAGTCCTAACAGAATACCATCTCTTAATGCGATTTCTGCTAATGCCTCATTGGTCATATTTTTCTTTTCTTTAAAAAAAGAGATAGCCTTGATAGCCTTGCGCCTTCAAAGTAACCTCCTTCTATGTTCCTGAGTCAAATTTTGGCTGGCTCCTGTGACTGCTTTCTCCAATTGCCTTTGATCTAGGTAGGCTTTGAGGAAGCAAAAGTCCTTGGCGGAGACTGTTGATCAAAAGATCTGCCAGGTCTTACCATTGGGAAAAAAATAAGAAGGGGAATAAGAATGCAAAGATAACATTTTCATTATTCAGCCAAGCTCAAAACGAGTCATTGCCGAGCACCTAGAATCCATCTCATCTTGATTTCAGCTGCAATGTGGCTGCCCCCAAAACTTGGGAGATTGTCCACAAGGCCAGCGCAATCAACCCTGGGCAGGAATCCCACCCAGTTCCTCGTGGTCTGTTATTCACACTTAGTCTCGCTGATTTGTGCTAATTCAGACAGATGTAACTCCCCAAAAGTTGATTACTCCATGCTCTTTTGAGCTAACTACCAGCTTGCTCAACCGTTCATGAATCCGTCCGTTATTTGGAAACAGAGAGAGTGCAAAAAAACTATCTGCGTGCAAATGCTTTTCTGGGAAACTGCTTTGATATTCAACAAGGGGAGGGTCAGCCCATTATAGGGAGTTTAATAGAATAAAATAGAGGTGTACCCTATTTAAATATTGACGGGAGACGTGGATGCTCTTTCAAGGAAGGGTAGGCACCATCCTTGCTGAGCGTTGAGAGAAGGGTCTTGAAGAAGAGCTGAGTTATGATTGACAGCCCAGGCAAGCGTAGGGTGTTCTGAGTGAACTGGGCTCCGTTTTCCCCTTCAGCTGTCCCATCGCTTCTGTTTGGACCCCTTGAGTCATTTTTACGAGAAAACCTTTCAGTTAATGGGGACGAGCCCCGGTTGTTTCATTTTTGAAGGCTTTGCCAAGCTGATTTCCATTCCCTTCTTTCTTTTTTTTAAGAGGATGAAAAGAACAGCCTGAAGCGGTCCACTTATTTTGATGCTGAGAGAGGCCTTTTGTCAACATGCTCCCCCCAAAAATCAATAGTGGAAGTTCAGGCAAACAGGTGGAAAGTTTCTGCTCGGGAAGCTTTTTCCCGCCCCCCCCCCCCCGCCCGGCTCATCGTTAATAATTCCACTTCAAAAGAATGATGAATGTCAAACGGCCTCAACATCAAAGCAAAGATGATTCATCAATGAATCGGTGGTTTTGGCCTGACAAGATCGGAGATGAATGGCAGAGAAACATGAAAACCATCTCCCTGTTGCTTCTTACTGCTCCAACGTGGGAGAAAAAAAGAGAGCAAAAATAAAGGATAGTGGGGGGGGGAGGGCTTAAAATAAATAGCTCGATAATGCTCACTATAGGTGCAGTTATGGGAAATGTCATTCTGAGGAATCTGGAAGGCGAAGAGAACCATTCTGGTTCCAAAGGAAACTGTATCACCATCGTAAGATGTATAAAAACTCTCACAGATGAAAATGAAGCCATGGTGCTTATGGGATTAATCAAAGAAAATGGAAAGTTTCTTTCTTTCTTTCTTTCTTTCTTTCTTTCTTTCTTTCTTTCTTTCTTTCTTTCTTTTTCTTCTTTTCCTTCCTTCGTTTCTTTCCACCCTTCCTTTTTTCTCCCTCCCTCTCTCGCTGCATTTCTCCAGCTCGAGAATTTTAAAATGGGTGGACTTCAACTCCCAGAGTACCCCAATCTGCACGAGGAATGGCTGGCTGGGGAATTCTGGGAGTTGCAGTTCACACAACTTAAGAGCAGAAAACACTGCCCTAGGGCAAAAGAGAGCCCACCCTGTTTTGGGAAAGGGCTGCGACTCTGAAGGTGGCTTTTCCAATTGGGCAATGGAGCCTTTCAACAGGGCGGTATTTTTTCGGAGGATCGCTTCCATCCCGTTGTTGGCTGCTTCTTGTCGCCTCACACAGACTTGGATCCTCAGGGCAAACTCAACGGCTGCCTACATGACGAGGTCCTTGCAGGGGTCACAGGTCAAAGGTCACCACTTTGAGGTTCCGGATTGCGGGGTTCCCTGGTGTGGTTCCGAGACAGCCTTGAGAAGTGGGGGGTGGCTCGCCGGTAACTGGTTTTGGTGGCCGATTCTCCTGCAGGCTGGAAGTCCCTAAAAGTGGAAAGAGATAAGTTATGAGCACAAACATTCAAGATGGTGCTGTCAACCTCCAGCTTGAATATCCAAATAAAGCCCAAGCTTTCCTTCATATCTGAAGATCTTACTATTAATGGAATACATGACAAGGTATAGGCCAGGGGTGGGGAACCTTGACTCTTTTATGACTTGTGGACTTCAACTCCCAGAAGTCCACAAGTCATAAAAGAGCCAAGGTTCCCCACCCCTGGCATAGGTGAAGGAAAACTAACTCTAAAATCCCAAGATGTCTAACCAAAGCATATAACAATGGCGTTCCCAGCCAAGCCTCCCAGATGTCCATGTCGTTCATGTAAACACCTTCTCGTTGTTTGGAGAACCTTCTGCTATCTTCTTCTCCACGGTTAGAATGTCCTCGACAAATTTCCATACTTCTGTGTTTCAAGAAACATCTGCACAACTGGAGAGGTTTTGTTTCTCTAACTAACTGATCTGAAGCCACCCCTCCCAATCCCCCCTTACTCTAATGACCAGATGAACACAATAAGGCATGTAGCTGCCAAGTTTTCACTCTTGACACGCTGCCCCCCCCCCCCAGAGAAGAAAGAACCTGGGGAAAAAAAACAATAAAACCAGCCTCTTTTTCCATCATAGATCATAGAATCACAAGAGTACAGAGAAGAGGAACAAAAATGATTAGAGGATTGGAAGCTAAAACATATAAGGAACAGTTGCTGGAATTGGGAATGTCTAGTCTAATGAAAGAAGGACGAGGGGGGACAGGATAGCAGTGTTCCAGTATCTCAGGGGCTGCCCCAAAGAAGAGGGAGTCAAGCTATTCTCCAAAGCCCCTGAAGGCAGGACAAGAAGCAATGGATGGAAAGTCATCAAGGAGAGAAGCAACCTGGAACTAAGGACCACTGATGATGTTATCTAGTTGGGTCATGAAATGTCTGCAAGAAAACATCCAAGCTCAGAGAGCACCAAGGACCCCACAGTCCTCCTCCTCCTGCTCCTTCTTCTCCTCCATTGCACAAACCCCACTCCCTTCTAGCACTGATGATGTTACCTAGTTAGGTCATGAAATGTCTGCAAAAAAACAAGCGCAGAGAGCACCAAGGACCCCACATACTATTTGTTTTAAAAAAGATACAATCCAAAACTAAAGAAGGGAACAAAGTTCACAACACATTTTTAGCAGCCAATGTCCAGATCAGGAAAGATCAGTAGTAGATAAACAGATAATCAAGGACCTGTATCCTGATTCAAACTCTCCTAAACTGAGAGATTTATTTCTTTTTTCTTTCTTTCTTTCTTTCTTTCTTTCTTTCTTTCTTTCTTTCTTTCTTTCTTTCTTTCTTTCTTTCTTTCTTTTTTCTTTCTCTCTTTCTCTTTCTCTCTTTCTTTCTTTCTTTTTCTTTCTTTCTTTCTTTCTTTCTTTCTTTCTTTCTTCTTTTCCAAATGTATGTGATCTTTCTGAAGATATGACTAAGCATTAAGGAAAGGAGATGGTAATATTGAGGCACTTGAACAAGACAGCTAGGGCTGAGATGTCATGTTGTAGTGACTAGGCTAGCCCCAAATCTATTTTGACGGGGCCACAATGAACTAGGACACTTTTACCTAGCCAAGAGACTCTAGGGTTAAAGAACAAACAAACAAAAAGCAGGGACAGAGTGAGAAGTAAAAAAATCTAAGGTCCAGAAAGGGAAGTTATTTGCACAACACCCAGGGCTGTTCTTCAATACGGCAGCTCCTCCTGCTGGCACATTCAAGAAACAAATTTCACACTGACCCACAGAGTAAGCCCTTGGCTATGCCTGGAAGACAGCTAACATTTAATTCTTTTTAATTAAATAACAATAATAGTAATAATAGTAATAGTTAATACTGAAGGAGAGAGAAAAGTTCTCCGTCGCACAAAATGGGTCTTTCTACACGACGGAAAGCTGGAATTCCAGTGATGGGCAAAGAAGACACAGAACCAAATCTTTTGACGTAGGGTAGATTCTTCCTGATTATTTCTACCAACCTCTTATTGAGGATGGTCACAAAATGGCATCATCAGCTGCTGCTATGCTTGGAGGGCAGGCAATCCTATGCAGGTCCACACTGAATGAATCTCCAGGATATCTAACAAGAGTGTTTCTCCAGGAGAATGGACATATGTTTGTAGCATGATAATCCGTGTCGTTCTCCACTTTAGGGAGCTGGAGGTTAAAACATATGAAGAATGGTTACAGGAAAGCAGAAGAAGAAGCAACGGATGGAAACTAACCAAGGAGAGAAGCAACCTGGAACTAAGGAGAAATTTCCTGACAGTGAGAACAATTAACCAGGGGAACAACCTGCCTCCAGAAGTTGGGAATGCTCCAACAATGGAAGTTTTGAAGAAGAGACTGGACAGCCATTTGTCTGAAATCGTATAAAGTTTCCGCTGAGCAGGGAGTTGGACTAGATGACCTCCAGGATCCCTTCCAACTTTATTATTATGGATCATCGCACAGTCAGCCAGATGTTCAGACTGGATTTGGCATTTTCTCTACCTATTGAGTCCTTACCCAGGACCTGGGATAGGCAGATGTGGATGTTTGATGGTATTACAGATATCGTCGCAGGATGGAAGCAGTTCCTAGTAAGGCCGCCTTTTGCAATTGACTAATAGCGAATTTGTCAATGCCAATGGTGTTCAAGTGGTGCTCCAGTTGTTTTGGGATTGCACCCAAGGAGCCTATGACTATTGGTACTACCCTTGATTGCTTTTGCCACAGTCTTTCTATTTCTATTTGTAGGTCTTTGTATCTTGTTATCTTCTCCAGTTCTTTCTCGTCTATTCTGCTGTCTCCAGGCACTGCCACGTCCACTATCCAGACTTTTTTGTCTTTCTTATCGACAATTGTTAAGTCTGGGGTGTTATGTTGCAGGTGCTTGTCTGTTTGAATTCTGAAGTCCCAGTATTATTATTATTATTAATAATTAATTAACGGGGGCTGGTTTCTTATGGGGGAATAGAGATTCCAAACTAATGATGTGTTTGACTCTGCCTTCAGCTCAGCCTGATCATTTCCTACACAGCCCTTGATTTCCCATTGAACTGAACATTGACACTAGGAAGAGATGGCCTAAATAGCTCTTGGCCCAAAGAAACTCTCCCCAAGAAAAGAGTTACTAGACCCGAACAGTATTTTCAGCTGCCAATATCCAGATCTGCTTCCATGGAAACAAAATGCTATCTGGGCAAAAAATAAGATAAAAGCGTTAAAACACGTACATTCATTTAAAGGTTGTTAAAAGCGGGACCCCGTGTTTTATCTATCAGCTCTCACAACTTCCCAGCTTCTCCAGGAAATCGGAGGGGGAAATCTGTCAAGCTTCACACCCACAACCTCTTGTCAGTTTCCCACCACAGCCTGCTTGCCAAGCAGGAAAGGTAATGGCCTGTGAAAAGTCAGCAAACTGCGACTAAACTTAAAATAAAACAAAGACCAGTTTATAAGCAGCCGCACGGGAAAGGTGGGGGCAAAAAAACTCTTGCAGCACTTTCTTCTCCCTGTCCAGGGAGGCTGTGCTTTCTGATCCCACCTCTGCTCATGTTGTTGTTGTTGTTAGTTGCAAAGTCGTATCCGACCCATCGCGACCCCATGGGCAACGTTCCTCCAGGCCTTCCCATCCTCTACCATCTTCTGGAGTCCATTGAAACTCACGCCTACTGCTTCAGTGACTCCATCCAGCCCCCTCATTCTCTGTCATCCCCTTCTTCTCTTGCCCTCCATCTTTCCCAGCATCAGGCTCTTCTCCAGTGAGTCCTTCCTTCTCATTAGGTGGTCAAAGTACTTGAGTTTCCACTTCAGGATCTGGCCTTGTAAAGAACAGTCAGGGTTGATCTCCTCTAGGACTGACCGGTTGGATTGCCTTGCAGTCCAGGGGACTCGCCGGAGTCTTCTCCAGCACCAGAGTTCAAAGGCCTCCATTCTTTGGCACTCCGCCTTTCTTATGGTCCAACTTAAACAACCATACATTGCAACTGGGAAAACCACAGCCTTGACTATACGCACTTTTGTTGGCAGGGTGATGTCTCTGCAAACTCCTTGCACCATGAAAGAGATACTCTGAGAACTTTGAGGGTGGAGCCATCTAAACCAGAGGTCCCCAACCTTTTGGGCACCAGGGACCGGTTCCGTGGAGAGAGGTTTTTCCGTGGATAGGAGGGTGCATGGGGCTTTGCTTGTTTGTGCGGCCCGGTTGCTGGCAGGCCACAGCCCAGTACTGGTCCACAGATCAGGGACTGGGGACACCTGATCTAGACCTTCTTCCTCCCAACCAAACTATCTAAATAACTGCTTGTTGCTAAAGAGAATGTTCTCTTCGCCATTACTAAGGCAATGGACCACTCACTTTACATTTCTATCTGTGGAATATCACTGTAAGGTCTTAGAATATTATTCTATAGTAAGTATTTTCTTTAGGGAAAAAAAAATGCAATTTCACTATAAGTGAGTCCAAGCCATTCCAGGTGTGATTTCACTTGCACAACAGCGTTTATACCAGAGATGAAATCCAGGTATTTGCTTCTTCCTTTCTCCTAAAAATAAAACCCTTTCCATAGTTGGTTTTTTTTTCAGCAACTGAAGGGATGAATACAGCTGACCTAATTACATCTGCCACCACCATTTTCCATCACTGCCATCCTTGCCATCTCAAGCTTTTCCGAAAGTAAAGAATTTTTTTGGGCCACTTGCAGACTTTTAAACGCGATTGCAAACGTTGGCTGTTCTCAATAAGTACTCGGTTAAAAAAAAAAAAAAGGCTATGATTTTCATCACAGCGCTTTTGTGATCTGGATCCCAAAATGTTCTTGGAGAAAGAGCCTCTTTGTACCAACAGTTGGTACAAAACCACATCTTCACCTTAAGGCAGAAGTTATTCCAATCTCTCTTGTGAAATGAGCCTCAAAGGCTTCCGTACGCATTATTGTTCTTCCTAGAAAATTATTATAACACACTGATAATTTGCCG